AGCTCGCTTCTATCAATCCACTTGCTCCATAATCATGCTCCACTGGGTGATCATGTACGAGGGGACTAGACAGGTAAAGTAGAATAGGGAGTAAGTTTTTGAACAAATTAAAAATAGAATAGCAAGGAAAGAACGCCAAATACTCACGACCACCTGGTGCCGAGGCCAAGTCAAGGTGCATCAACTCTATATAAGAAATGGCAAGCGAACTCGGGCTTGGTTGACCTGAGCCAACTCCTCGCCGGATTGAGGAAGAAGTTTTACATGGATATATATAAGCCAAATTTGCTCTATATGATTGGGCCCCAAGGGGTACCACAATTTTAAGATCAAAACAAGTTCCTACATGCCTTCGGTTCTATCATGCACGCTGCTCGCCTGCCTTACCACGGCTGAGCTCGAGTTTGAGTGTGGTTTAGACCAAGCCTTATCTTTTTGAAGAAAATTTGTTTAATAAATTGGGCGTGAATTTCTTAATTTGGAATTTAATTTCGGTATCCATTAAATTTGAATTCATACTGGTTCGAATTGTAACTTCCTTCCAATCTGAAATCTAATTTGTGTCTGTTCATAGAGAACAATTATACAAATGGTGTCTTCTAGGTTGTGTCTTTTCGTAAAGTGGTTGTCCGGAACAATCACCAGACTGTCTATAAATACCCAAGCTCTCATTACCATTCTACATTGCATTTCGAGAGTACACAACATAATTTCTAATTCGCTGAACGAGTAGATTTGAGTGCTACTTCTACTTATGTGAAGATCATTGTATCATAGAAGGTAGACATTTTGTATTCCATAAACACCATGTGTGGGGGCGAAATTTGTTTTAAGGACACAGTGTCAAACACTAGTCTTGATCTACTTAAAGTTCAATAACAGTTCCCATTTTGCAAACGCGTCAGTATTTATATTGGTTAAATAAACAGTTAGGTGTAACTATTTTGTTAAGACTACTGTAACTGTTTCATTAATTCTTTTGTAATTTTTACAGTTTTCAGTGTTACTGTTACACACTTGACTGTTACTGTTGTATTCTAAATTACACAATACAAATCAAAAATATCAATAAGTGATTTTATTATATTTGGAATACCACAATCAACAAAAACTACTTTTAGATCAAAATTCTATGGTTAGTAGAAAACATCTTTTGTTTTGAATTTTTTTATTTTAATAAATTTTAAAATTATTTTTAGTAAATTTGATGGTATTAACAAAATTTTAATTTTTATTATACGTAACATAAATTATTTGTATTATAAACTTTGTTTTCGATGATATTTTAAGTGAATTTACTATTTTAATAAAACTTTGATTTTTATTATATATAACATGAATTTATTTGTATTATAGACTTTGTTTCCCCTGATTTTTTGTTTTGACTTTATTTGTTTTAATAAGTCTTAGATTTTTAAAAATATTTTAAATAAATTTATTTGTAATAATAAAACTTGATTTTCATTACCATTTGTTTTATTTGTTTTGGATTTTTTTGTTTTATCTGTTTTAATTTATCTATTTCATCTGTTTTGAAATATCAATTTGGACAGTGAAATAGAGGTAAAATCAATGGACCAAAACCACATTTTTTTGTTTCCTATCCCATTAACTCAGATATTCTCTTCCTCCTTTCTCACACACAGACTCACCAACACACACATATTGATAGACTCAAACGGTCACCAAAAACCTATGAAAACCAAAACATGTTGTACCAAAGTCATTGAATTTTGATTTTTATAATAAACTAACACAGTGGTGTCTACATATAATCATTAGCATAACATTTCAAAATAAAAAGAGAGATATATAATAGACACAAAAGTAACTTAAACATGGACCACCAATATATTACTAATGACGACATTTATCTAAATGGCATGAACTTGATAGATTGTCGAGTGCTAAGCATCTGAGCAAAATTTCTGAGACTAAAATTTATGCAACACTGTCACGTTGGATGGAGTAATTTGTTTAATGAGTAAGGGTGTTGAAGAAAGAGATGGGGCGACTGGGAATTATGGGTGAGAGGTGCTGGTCTGTGTGGGATTTATTGCCATCATCATCCGTTGCGAACTTAAGCGATGAACCAGTTATCCATTGCGAATTAGTCTCGGCGTAGATGATCTTGACCAGACAAGATGAGAGATTAGTCGAGATGCACGTAAGTTGACCTAAACATTCGCCTGATTTGATGAAAATTATGATGGTTTTCTATCTCCAATTTGAATCTAGTTGAATATTCCATGTATTTTTTTTTGTAGGTAACGACAGAGAGAGAGAGAGAGAGAGAGAGAGAGAGAGAGAGAAGAGATCAGGTTTCTAAAAAGAAAGAAATTAGCATGAAATAAGTTAAAGGGTATTTTGGTAAATAAAAAACGGATTAGTTAGATTGGACTACAAGGGAAAAAAAAGTACACCACAAGTCTTTAACTTAATGGCTTAAAAGAGTATTTGATTGAATTTTTTAAACATGATAAACCTATCAATTCACATTTACCATTTTTTTAATTCTACTTATTTTTTAACCATAGTAAAAAAGTGAGTTTTGCACAAGGGTGCCATAGTTATCTATATAATAAAACGAAAATCTCCTGAAAATCAAGAACACAAGAGTAGTTCAAATTGTTTAAATCTGACAATAAATTTAATGGTTTTACTTTTTGATTTTTTAATCACGATAATTCAATCTATTTATGTTATAATGTTGACATGTTAAACATAGTAAATATTTCAACTATACTTATATTTTAATTATGATAAATATTTTAAAAATACCCAAATTTTAATCATCCATCCCTAATATATATTTATCTTGTAGGGAGAAACGAGTACACTCTAAATTTTACAAATTTGCAAAAATGTACCTATAAAGTTTCGCCTATCGTTTTCCCTTTCTTCAATTTTTAATCAATGCACACACAAAACCTATCTTAACAACTTAAATGTTTTTTGGTATCATTGACACTCTTACACTAGAAGGAGAGAAGGTCATTCACACATAATTTTTTTTTTTTCGGGGCGGGGGGGAAGGGGAGGGGTCAACAATGGCATAGAACAAAATTTAATTCAATGAAGTTATTTAACGGTCATTATTAATGATAAATTTTTATTTATAAAGAACCTATTAAATTTAATTTTTATGCAATGCCATTGAAAAAAATAATTTTGAGCATAAGACTCAAAAATTAGTTCATGCCCTCATAAATTGCACTCGAGGTCCCCAAAGCATGAAATTTGTCTCATTTTAGTCCACAATGTTTCAATTGCATCATTTTGGTCCTTGAAATATTCAATATGTTTCTATATGGTCCCTTAAGCAGACATCGTCCAGATTGCTAATAATTTTTTATCATAAACTTGTCACGTAATACTCAAATATGGACAAAAAAATTATTTAGATAACACTTGATCAAATTTTTACTCAAATTTTGTTAAATAGCTATCTAAATTACACAATTTTGATCATGAGTTATCCAAATTTTGGTCAAAAATTACCCATATTACACATTTTTTTTGTCAAGACCTACCTAAATTTTATTTAAGAGCATTAAAATTATTATTTTTGTCATATTTATGTATTATGTGACAAGTTTATGATAAAAAATTGTTAGCAATCTAGACGTTGTCTGCTTAAGGAACCATTTAGAAACATATTCAATACTTCAGGGACAAAAATGATGCAATTGAAACATTAGGGACCAAAATGAGATAAACCCCATATTTTGAGGACTTCTAGTGCAATTAACCCTTAATTATTTGTGTGAAAATATATCTTATTTGTCTATATAGCTTTTGATATATACATATATTATGTATGCATTAATTTCATATATAAATACAATGATAAAATATGTATTTATATTTAAAATATATATATATTTAACATTAAATTTTTTATTCAAAATTTATGTGGGTTAAGATAAATACAAACACGGACATGATACAAAAATAAAACAGGTCAACTCGACACGACACGATTCATTAAATGAGTTGAGTTATGTTTGATTAATGTTCGACACAAATCCACAATGACTCGACACGACTCGATCGTCACCTCTAATCTTAGCAAACACAAAAAAAAAAAATTATTCATTTTTATTTTTCATCCATCTAACTAAACACAAATGAAGAAAAATGTATCATTCCTATTTTTCATCCTTGAATGATAGAAAATGTATCTTTCTTACTTTCTATCCCTTCTACTTTTCATCCTTATTTACCAAACAGAGCATTGAGTACAGGGGCTTTACCAAAAACAAAAGACAAGAGAAGGGTATAAAGATGATATAGTCAAATGGTAGTACAACACTCCTATTTCATCCCTTCCAACTCGTGGATAACCTTTTTAACCCACTATCTAAACACCACACAAGTGATTGTCAATTGTCATGTCAAATGTTGTCTCCAAGTGGTTGTCAATTGTGAAGCCACAACCATTTCTCGCTCTATTTAGTGAACGAGAACTCTGTTTTACTCCTATGTGAATTTCATAACCTGAGGTCTGCTGTAATTTGATTCTTGAAAATGATGAACACAGATGAAGAAGCTATCAAATCTCTTCCAGATTTTGCCACCGATTCTTTTTTGAATTGTATCGATCTCTCTAGTACTGATATTCAACACTCTGTTTCTCTCCTCAAACAAGTAGTCTCTCTCTCTTTATATATATATATATATATATATATATATATATATATATATATATATATATATATAGCGAATTATGTACACGTACGAAAATATTTGCTCTTAGCAGGCCATGGATTATAAGCGTGATTCAATTTGGTTATTTCTTCGTGAATTCATTAAACCTGTCAAAAAATAGTCGCAATCAGTTCATTAAATGTTGATTTAATATTTGTTTTTGATTCTATAATTTCACGGAGGATTTCTATGAAGCACTAAGCGATACTTAGTCTTTTTGCTCCATTTGCAATTCTTGTCCGTTGCATTTTGTATGTCAGATAACATAGCTGAGGAAATCAGGAACATATACATAAAATGATTGGATGAAACTGAAGATCAACTAGCCTGAATGATGCCGAAGGATGTATAATTAATCTAGATTTCAATACCTTTTTTTTCCCTCTTTTTTTCCTCTCGAACCATTCTTTTTTATGTCAATATGTAGCAATTTGTCTATTTTGTCATTTATGTCCAATATTTTGGTCCAATTTTATAGAAGCACCTTGTGCACAAGCACAAAAGCTCTAGCCCAAAGCTCATTCCATTAAAAAAATCAACTCAGTAATTGAATTGAATCTACACAACCTGCCTTTCCTTGGCTGTAAGCAACATGTGAATTGCCACCTCGGAGGGATGCATATTCTAACTTTCCGCATATATACATGATTGACCTTCCAAGATGACGACCTCGTGCTTGTTAGTACTAAGTAACAACTGAATTGGCCCATTGTGCTAAATTTGTTTATTTGCTAGAAACTATCAATAATTATAGAAATTTTCAGTCCTCAACCCACATGATGGAGTTGGAACAATTGACAATTTTGAGTCGTATTTTGATAATGGGACAATAGCTTCTTGGAAGTACCTTTTTGAAGGGGTGGACTTGTATCTTCAACTGTTATGAGCGAGTAATTGATTTTCTGTGGGACAACTAAGGTAACTGAATACTGAAAATATCACTTATTATTCGTGGGAAACTAGGAGAGCCAGGTCTCCATTGTAAAAGTTGTCGCCCTTCTGATAAAGGTTACAATATGCACATGTAATTATTAATCACCGTATAATTATTAATCTCCATAAGTTTCAACAATATTATGTATAAGTGATTGCATAATTACACTTCATTTTCTTGGATTCCTTCATCTTTGTCTAACATACCGACAATTTTCATGCCCCATTTGTGTCCTTTGTCCTCCTTAGTGGCTCAGTGCCGCCTAGACCCTAATTTATGTGCATTGTCTCCTCCCCATATATTAGTTACATCTCATCTAAAGTGATATTATTTTCTGGGCTTATGTATATTGGTTCATCACTTGTGCTTTAGGCTTCCTCGGATTCTGGTTTCTTCTATGTTATCAATCATGGAATCAGTGAGGAATTCATGGATGAGGTTTTTTCCTATAGTAAAAGGTTCTTTGATCTACCCATAAAGGAAAAAATGAAGCTTTTAAGGAACAAGAAGAATCGAGGATATACCCCTGTTCTAGATTCACAATTGGATCCTATCAATCAAGTACATGGTTAGTTCGCTCCGTTCTTTTTTGTATAATTGAATGAAGCAGCAATATAGCAATATGAATAATGTAATGTAACAGTCTATGCAATGTTGTATTTGATACAAGTTTTAGTGAAGACCTTTGAATATTTTCTTAAATAAGGGGAATGCCAGAAAGACCTATGCAAAAAGAATTCCTTAAGATGTTACCCACACATCATGCACACAATAGTAATGATATCATGGTTGACACAAGTCTTTCTCACTAAAAAGGCCTTGGGTCGAATATCGGTCATACCACTGTTTTTCCCTTCACAATAGAATTTGAACATCAATCATAATACAAAACCTCTGTGCCGCAATCAGTGACGAAAGTTACCAGGAGTAGTACTCCCATGAAACATTTCAGTAACTATTGATAGATCAAGTGGAAGGCCAGAAGAGTAGGTATGGCCATGGATGATGGCCAAGTGCTTCAGATAAACTAGAACGATCTGGTTGACCTGGTCTTTCACATACTTTAATTTGCTTGCATGTAGGGACACATACTTGTGCATGTCCACATAATGCTGAGGGATAAATTTATGTCCACACCAATCCCAACGCCCTATATCACATGAACAACATTTGTTCATGGCCACTTTTATGTGTTAGTATACGTGTCTATGCAATATGTGTGTATATATTTTTTATCTTCCAACTGTATTATTGCCTTCAGACTATGAAACACTGTCCAATGATTTGGATGCATTTGTCCTGCTCCTCTTTTTCTTTCAGTTGGTTGCTTATATGTCATCTGTGGTTTGTCAACATTATATGCGATACTTAGGCAATAAAGTGATTGTCCTGTTTTATGGATTCAGGAGATTACAAGGAGGGATATTATATTGGTGTTGAAGTACCTGATGATGATTCTGACGCAGAGAAGCCATTTTACACGCCAAATGTTTGGCCCTCGACAGGTAATTTTTAGAAACAATTTGTTTCTCACGTGAAGGAACAATTTTTTCTATGTTAAATAGTCTATAAGAATTTCATTGGTCATGGCACATATTAATCTCTCTTTCTCTCTCTCTCTCTCTCTCTCTCTCTCTCTTTCGCGCACGCGCACATGTATGCTTACGCTCACGTATCCTGTCTCTATTTCTGCTTGAGGTTTTTGTAAAATCTTTTGATTCCTTGAACTTTTTGTATATCTGCAAGATATTTTGCCCGGATGGAGGCAAACTATGGAGACATACCATCGAGAAGCACTGTAAGTTTGTCAGGCCTCTATTTTATCGAATAGAACTCTAGGTTCTATATGACAAACATATGTACTCCTCCATGCACTACCAAAAATACATGGGGAATAACTCCTGTTCAAATAGGACTTTAACTATCTGGACATGGTTTGAATGTTTGAACAGTTACATTTCATTGATGTTTGTTTAATGAAGATATCAATATGTTATTGGCATCTTAAAGTATGCATCAACTAGGAAGTGTTGTTAGAAGATCACATTATGAGGAAAACAGAAGATCATGATAATCGAGTATTCTTTAGGGGTTCTCATAGGATGCATTCTTCTGTGATGTATATTGTCTGAAGGCATTTGATTCCTTTATATATGCATGTGTGTGTGTGTGTAGTTACATATATACATATATTATCTGCTGTAATTTTGTAGAATCTACCAAATGTACGAGCTTACGATTTTTTTCAGTTAGCATCAATTATGCTATACAACTTTTAGGAACCCCTCTTTGATATTGGGATCTATTCTTTTTATTACCTAACTGAAGCTCACCGCAAATATTCTTTATTCTTTGTGATAACAATTGTTTACGTGTCCTTAAATTTATCTAACTCGTCCCAGAAAATGGATCTAATTGCATTTCACTCTCAAAATTCTACAATGTGTTGTGCTTCACTATTCTTTATGGATTCTCATATTATGCATTTTTCTAAGATTTCTATTTTTTAGAAAACTTTGAATCTTGGCGAAAACAAAAGAGATTTCCATCTGAGGTTAAAGATCGAAAAATGTTAGCTGCCGAGTTCATGTTATAGACGAAACCTCTTGTAGTGTTTGCCTTGTTTTGATGAGACCATGGTGTCTTTTCCTACTATAAGACTTGTTTAGAAATTATAGTGCCGGACTTTTCAGTCATCCTTATGTGTTGTTCCCCTAGACTTCTATTTCAAATATGATGACTTGATTTTTGGTCAAATCTTAGTATCTTCTGGATACATTTTCGTGTAATGAGCAACCTTGATTTGGTTTTGATTGTAAAAGGCAACTTGGAGTCTTGGACTTTGTTCTTTTGTCTAATCACATTATTTTTTCTCCTCTCTCCATGTATGAATTCAGTGAGGTGGCAAAAGCAATTGCAAGACTCATAGCCCTTGCACTTGAACTTGGGGGCAACTTTTTTGATCAGCAAGAAATGCTTGGCAAGCCTATTGCCACATTGCGCCTGCTACATTATGAAGGTTAAAATTGAAACAAAAGCTACCAAACTCCATTGTAGAGCATGCAGAATTTTTTTTGTTGATTGATGTCACTTGTGTAATATTGATTCATTGATTGTTCATTAGGTCTAATATCTGATCCCACAAAGGGATTATATGGAGCTGGTGCCCATTCTGATTTTGGTTTTATTACCCTCTTGGCCACAGATGATGTTGCTGGTCTCCAAGTAAGGATGAAGCTGGAATTACACTATAAGTCCATTAAGTTCATTCTAATTTTTGATAATGGATTGTAACTTTTCATTTTGTTTTAGATATGCAAGCATAAGGATGCCAAACCTCAGATCTGGGAACATGTGAAACCATTGAAAGGGTGGGTTAGTATAACATTGAGATTGTTAATCATAGAAAAGAAGATGAGTTATACACAATCTATCGAAGTTGTGTTTATCCGTCAGTATATAATTCATGCATCATTCTGGTAATTTATAATGGTCTAGTTATCCCACATCGGGTAAATACTAGGGTAAATATGGATTTATTTTACATTGACTGGCTCACTACCTATGTGATTGAGCTTTTGGGTGGTCAAGTTGGCTCAAACACGTATGGTGGATCCCATCTTGCCAACAAGTGGTATCAAAAGCATGTTGGGCTCTTCCGTTGTGGACTCTCCAACTTCCCGACAAGTGATATCAAGGGTTTCCATATTGAGCCAACTTCCAAAGCTCGTAACTTACTGGTACTGAGTTCATCCTATATAAATTAGAATATGCTCATGCCGTATTGACACAAGTTGGACTTTACTCCAATATTATGCATGCGGAACATATGTCGCAATGACTTTATCCTTGTGGTGTCCTGAACAATAGCTTACCATCATTGTTGTTGTTGATAAATTTCCTCTTTAGTTTATTGTAATCTTACTTCCTTAGTGATTGATATTCGACTTCCAGAGCATTTATTGTAAATCTCGGTGATATGCTGGAGCGCTGGAGCAACTTAATGTTTAGGTAAGGTGCATTTTTATTAGCAGTTGTTATCCTGCTGGTATCCAGTACCATAGGCGAGTTGTTGGAGATGTTTGATACATTTTAGGAGCTTTGAAATAAGTTCCTTCCAGAATTTTCTTCAATTCTTGCCTAAATTTGAATATTAGATAACTAGTTCCCACTTTTAGTTTAAGTTTCAAAGTTTGACTATAATGTCTAGTTGTCTACCTTTTGACTTGGACATGATTCATGGTGAAACTGGCACAAGTTATCAATCTTTTGATGAAATGTCTTATTCAACAATTGCGTATTGTTGAATTTCTAAACTACCGTCATTGCGGGTTTTGTTCTCATAGTGATTTGCATGCTCTTAGAGTTATTTAATTATATCTTCTAAACTGGAGGACATACCAATTTCATGGAAGTGTGGCCTTTTGTTAATTCTATCCAGGTCGACATTACATCGAGTTTTGGGGAATGGTCAAGAGAGATATTCTGTAAGGCCCTTCTAAGCTTGCAAATGTGTTTTTAACATACTATAATGATTGTTATTAGATGTTCTCTCCCTTTTAAGGTATACATTATTAGTTTATTATACATGTATGACAGATTGATTACACGTTGGTCTTTGACACTCTACATTAATATTTAGGCTCCATTTGCAACCCCATTTCTAATTGTGCTATTCAAACTTGAAACAAGTTGGTGGTGTAACCCCTTCCAAACTATTATCTTATTAGGTCTCTCTAGAAATAGCTGGGGTGTTGTAACTGGGCTACCCGGGTAAGGTAAAGTTTTCCAAACTAATCTTGTGGGAGTATTTACCCACAGTGGATTCGTTTTGAGTAAAATGTTTTAACAATATTGATTAGTTTATCACTTTATCCATTCTATCATCATACTATAACTGGAACCAGAAACGAGTTACAAGTTTTGCATTGTTTAAGTGGTTCCTCAGCATGTTCTAGGTTTGAAGCAACTAGGAAGCATTCACACCAATTAAATGAGTGGACACATATGCACAACAAATGTGTGTGATTTATACAAAGTGCTTCATCTAATTTTTTGTATATTTTTTTATTTATATCTATTTGACATTACTTCTACTGTTCAAAAATTACAAGGTTATTAAAAATTATAGTTATCTCAAGGTTGCTTGAGGTTATGCTATTGAAAATTATAGTTAGGTTGTGGAAAGAATTATTTAAGTTTGCAAGTGTTAATGACATAAATTCAATTTTGAAACATTAGAATCCTTTTATAAAAGGAGGTTTTTGCATGTTGGAATTCAAATTGAAAACATCTTTATAATGTTACGCATGTTAAGTTTACTACTTTCCCAAAGCATATCCACCTTTTGGCTGCCAAAGCTCCGATGGAAATTCTTCAAATTACCATGCCAATGAGGCATGTGCTCACTACTCAGGCGTGAAAAGATATTTCCCATGACCACGGCTGGCTTCTGGATAGCTCTAATTACCTGCCTTCCAAGTTCCCACTTATTTTTCTGTATGAGCATGTGGTTCGAAATAATCTGATTCTGCTTAGTTAGATATGAACAAGGATTACCCTGACACCAGTGAGATTAGCTGTATCATTTTATTATTATTGATCTTTTGCAATTTCCCTATGCTGACTTTAGTTGATCATTTCTCATTATACACATTGCACTACTCATTTTGGCCTATTCCTCTGAGGATGGGTCTTGGGGTAGCAATAAAAATTTTCCATTGTGACTGAGGCATCAAGATTGAAGTCATGGCAACAGCCTTGAGTACATCTACCCCTCCCAAACCCATACTAGCAAAAGTCTCGTGCACATGCTGTCTTATTTTGGCTTATTCCATTGATTCTACGTCTTTTTTCCATGCCACTTCTTGTTATGTCTTGCTTTTAGATATTTATCATTCTAGATATCTGTATTTGAACCAAAAAAGATGGTAAATGTTTTGTATATTCTCTCTGGGTGCAGATTGCATACTTTGTGGATCCTAATCACGATTGCCTTGTTGAATGCTTGCCAACGTGCCAGTCACCCGAGAACCCTCCCAAGTAAGTATAGAGCAACAACACTACGGACACAATCTTACCACTTAGAGGTTTAACTGAAACTTTGGTTGATCCAATTAGGGATCATAGGGCACATAAAGTGGTTCATTAAGATTATCACCTTGTGATTGATGAGTATAGCAATCGCGCAAGAGTCCTTAAGGCTCGACCAATAGCCTGTGGACCATGGGATGGCCCATAAGCCTGACTGGCCATATGATTGGGCCATAAGTCGTGGGTATTGGCTTGCTAGACTTGACAGGTTGGGCCAACTAGGGAACGAATAACAACCCTATTAGCTCGATGGAGTTCAGAACAAATGTCAAATTTAAAAAATAGAATCAGAAAAGTTGAAATAAAATGTCGGGTTGGCTGCGCCTGTATTATTCTGGGGCGTAGCTATCCGGGCTAGTGATATGTGATTGACCCAACCTGCGGCTCACCTTTGTGTGTTGACTGGCGGGTCAAGGTATTCTGGGACCATTCCCCACATTTAAGAGTAGAGTTGATAATTGAATCGAGTTTGAACAATTTTTTAAATTTATTTAGAAATACGAACCTAAAAGGTTTGACTTGAATAAAATTCAGCTTGCTTATATATAAAATAATTGAACTACTTGGGGCTCGACAAAATGTGTGGAGCTTAAACAATTTTTTAGACTCCTTTAAAAAAATAAGTTCGACAGATTCAGCTCGAGCTCATAAAACTCAACTCGATTATCAGCCCTACTTAATAGTCCCCAACCTCCACACACACAAAATGGGCCCAACTTGTGGATGCTAAGGCTGCTTTTCATTTACCAGGTATCCTCCAATTAAATGTGAAGCATACTTGCTGCAGCGATTCAAGGAGACTCATGTTGATCTGAACTCTTATAAATAAAACCAAACTTAACTGGCAATGGCAGGGGACTTTTACCTGAAACGCTTGCCAATGAATCTGTACTATGGAGTTTGCTACCTATACTACCTACGTCTGTAAATAAGTGTACCAACGCATTAAGTTTGAGCATCATGCTAGAATAATTTCTTACATGCTTTGTGTGCCTATCGAATCTAAAGTCGCAATTAGGTTGGTTTAGTTTCCACGTTGTGATTAAATTTGCGAGTCAGGGTTAGGGAATTACCACCAAACTCTTTGTATACTAAATATGTAAGTTTATCAGGTGTTAAGTGAAATATTTACATTTTAACTTTTATTATTATTACTAGCCATTTGATGTGTTATTCTTTGTTCCACTTGTTTAACATCTTACGTTATTAATAGATATTCTAATCACGTTCTCTTTGAATTGATTAAAACGTAAATCTCAATCTTCGATATGTACAATCACCCATAACCAAACACATCCATTAAACCCAAATTTTATATTATTGGGGTAGCTCAAATTCAAGATGTGCAGATTTATATCATGCCAAAAAATTTTTAGGGTAGGGCTATTTCTACCTTTTAATTCTCTTTTTCTACCCCATTAATTCTCTTACTTCAAACTACTAAGTTCAACCCATCTATACCCATCCCATTAATGACCAAGTTCATCTCATTTATCTCATTTGATTAAACTACCAAATTTATATTTCAAAGAAATCAAAACAAAAATAGTAATTAAAGTCAAATTTCAATGTTCAAATGTGATATAGAATATTTTGAGGTATTTTGACATATTTTTACCGTCGTCTTCAGAATATTTTGAGGTGTTTAACAATATTTTGTTATATTTTGACTAATATTTTTAAAATAATTTTTTTTCATTTTAATTCTATTTCTATAATATTTATGTACTAAAATAATACACCAATTTTTTTTTTATTATTGCCGATATAATAGGTTGAAAGAATATTGGATGAATTTATTTTTAATTAGTGAATATAGACAAAGTGGGTTTAGTAACAAGTAGAATGAGTACAGATGATGTGAACTTAGTAGTTTGAAGTGTGAGAATTAAATAGGGTGGAAATAACCCCACCCAAAATTCTATTGGACCACTAAACCTATCCAGATAAGCTTCTGAGGATTTTTTTTTTCAATATGACGTAGTTTTGATCAAACATGTCAAAACATTTTCAACCTGAAATTAACTTGCTTAAAGTCCACCTCTGGACATAAGGGAGCAATTCATGTTTTTGCCACACCAATAGTCGCATGTAGAGAGTTCATTAGATGATAGGATAATATCACAATGATTAATAAAAAAGACACCCATACCAAAATTACACACTCGTATAATTTTACATCCATTACTAAAACGCCAAAATCCTTGAATGTGTGTTTTCCTAAAAACACAAAAGGACACTTGTGAAATCAGACAATTCAAGTCCATCTGGACTTCATATGTCCAGACTCATTAAGATCAAGATTTATTTTGAAATTACAACTCACAAAAGCCAGCCAAAGCTTAATAACATACAACGAAGGCACACTAGAACAACAACAGACTTTTATCATGAAGTACATAAATTATAAGTTGTAGTTAGTAGTGACGCAATTCAACGGTATATCCGGTAAGTAGGAGTGTACATACAACTTTTAGCATGCTTCACCAGATTCTCAGGTCGAGGGAGATGTGTCGCCACACCTACAAAGCAATTATGTAATGTGGCAAACATAAATTCATGTCTCGGCAAGTAACTTGGAACCAAAATAGGGAAAAGAAAGTGTACTCACCAAGTTCATATGCTTTGGCAGCTACCTTAGTGGCAATGTGAGCAGAGATCTTTCTGATATTAGTGAATGGAGGGTAAATCATGCCCTTAGCTAAATTCTCCTCCATTACTTGACCAACCAAAGCTTCCATTGTTTCAATGGAGACATCTGGAAAATTAATATCGAGAGAATTCTGTTGCTTGCTTTACTGCAATGACAACCTAACATTGTGTTGCCTTTAAAGTCATTGTAATCTGAAAGACATATCGTAACGTTTTCATTTTTCACCACACAAGGGTTTACATGTCTAGAGAATAGGAAAAGATGGCAAGTATTTTGTTTTTGTCATTCACTTGAATTGGCACACCTAAATTTGTAGACAATATCAGTATGCAATAGTAAATTCAACATTGTTCTTCATTATAAACTTACACGCTACAAGAAGCATTTCATTATGGACACGAATCGCATCAGAGATGACCAAGCCAAAGCCAAACACAGGGAAAATATGCTATAATAACATAACCATAAATGTGTATATGGTGTTAAGCCAACACCTATTTTGACATCTCAAGAGCTATAAGCTCTACTATACCAGTCCCAGCCTACAATTACAAGATGACAATTGTGAGACAAATCAATTGTGATCTTATTTTGATGTTTGACAGTTAGATACCATATGTCACCAATTTAAGGGCTTGGAAGGCGACAGAAACAACCAGGAAAACTGAACATGTCCATCAAGAAATTGCATGAGGTTTAGTTGAAGATGTGGTAAGGCCAACATCAAGGTGTATGCTTGGTCACATTGGTTTTTTTCCCCATCAATTCAGTCTTCCCAGTACTTTTTGATATATAACCAATTTGCTCCATAGACCAATGCTGAAAGAATGCCTCAAATAATTCTCAAACAGGGATAGAGGGGTCGTGTTTAGGGCACAAAACCTCAAATGGGGTTCATGACTATGATCCCCTGAATGCCCATCCATAAATTGTTACCCTAACGCCAACCGATCCATAAATTATAACACTAACCTTGAATTGTAACTCCAAGTGGTACTTTATTTTGTAATTTTGGTCATCTTCAAAAGTATATTTTGATTGGTTTTGATTTGAATGTTTTTGTAATACAAATGTAGAACTATTTACTTTAAATATACTTTTGTGATTTGAATGTTTTTGTAATACTAATATGGAACTATTGACTTTTGTTTTTCACAACCTTTGGTTGGTAGGTTGTTTTGTGTTGCGGTTCAAAGTAATACCCTATTCATGTCGCCTCAAGGGCTCTTCCGTTTCTTGGTCTTCAAGCTTGAAACTCTTATCATAAGTATCGAAGTAATGATTGGCCATGTGTGTATGGAAGTATAGTTATGCAAATACAAGAGTGAAAACAATCCGAATAATTGTTCCCAAGCAAATGATGACCCAAAACAATGTACAGATAAAGTCTATCTTCATCACGCCACGTATCAGAGATAATATCGTACCTCATACTCATACCGAATCAAGTAATCAACCCCCGATCTAAGGAATATCGGTGTCAAATAGAAAATCCTCAAAGCAAACCAGATTTTGGAGCACAAATAAATAAAATATTTTGGAAAGTCACTAATATTTCCTCTATAAGTTTTTGGTGCCATTATTACTTTACTTCTGTACTATACCACACTCTAACCTAGTTATTTTTGCTTATCTACCTAGGATGTTAAGATTCAGAAATAGGACGAGGAGTAGAATCTCACTTGCCCAACACCAAGGAATAAGAATATGTGGTCAGCCAAAGTACCACCAAGTAACTTTAGTGCTGCAACAAGCCCTACAAGATCCACAGCTGTTGTACCCTGAAAAATGGAAACAACAAATTAGACAAGAACACAGAACACCTTTCAGTGACAATATCAACCACGACGTAACACCTGTATATCATAATTGAAGACCAGATGAGTAATGCGATATTTTGCTAGTAGCTCAAAAGCATTGTAATTTGCAAAATCTTCAAACTGAGAGAGTTCATAAATTTTTTTTTTACCAATGTTAAAATGCTTAAATAATTCTAAAATCCAGAAAGCCTAAATCTTGGATGAAGTCTAACACTTTAGAGCGATATTTCACTTACCTGTACCAAAACTTTTTCACCATAGTTTTGCTTAACCGCAGTCATGAATTCATGTAAAAAGTCATAATATTCCTAGGGTAGGAAAAACTGTCATCCTTCAACAACTGCTCCTTGTTCGTCCCCACATCGATATTTATAGGCAAACACTACATCAGGAGGTGAACAAATTTCATTAATAAAGTGAACCAAAATGATAGTGCCAAACCAAACTCCACAAATTTTGATCAAGCTCATAAATAAACAATGTCAAATAGATTTATTTATTTAATACAGTGAAGAAAACCATACTAAGACAGATGAGTTTCATGTGCACTAAAGAAAAACTTGAAGAACGTAATTATCCCAACATCCAAATAGAATAGTCAAATAAAAATGACAGTTTCCATTTGATGTGGTTCTTACTGCTAAAGGTCTAACTCCTCCAAGGGCAGTATACAAAGCTAGTTTCCCTATAGGTATCCCCATCCCCCAGCAAAAATTTAAAAATTGCTACGTGAAGACTAGTTCATTGTCGTTCCGGTCTTATATTTATAAATGTGAATTTGGCATTTAAGATACTTACAGTTACAAATGAAAGAAAATGAATCCTCACATATTTACCTGGCAACTAAGGTCCCCAAGTCCCACCATCACTCACAAAAATAACTTGAATATTCCTTTCGGGTCAGTTCTTCAGTACCTTGGCAATCTTCCCCCTGCAAATGTCAGGTGGTCTCTCTATTAACTTGGGGAAAGGCTACGGTACCCAAGGAGGTATCGTACAAAAATTTACAACTTGTAATGTTTAGTTTATTTTTTTTTGTGCAAATTATAATTTTTAGAGGTCATGATCGATCATAATAGATTGAGATCGATACTAAAGTTATAATTGTTAAAGTTTAAGTTACAAATTTTATAGGTCAAGTTACAATTTTGAAAGAGAGAAGTTACAACTGTTCAAGGGAGTCCATGATCGATCATGTGTATCTGTAATCAATCATGGTCTCCCTTGAGCAGCTGTAACTTCTCTTTTTTAAAGTTATAATTTTATCATAAAAAAAAATAACTGACAATACAGTACCAAATTGTTTTTTGTTCAATACCATAGACTTTCCCATTAACTTGAACCTACTTTTAAAATGTAAATGTAGTAATTTAGAGCTCAAACAAAAAATCATACTTCTCTGTCAAACTGAAGTAGATACTCTGAAGATGCCTAAAAATGCTTCCATATTTCTGGCAAGCAACACTAACAGACTGTAGAGATCTGAAAAGTGAGGATAGATTTTTTTTCAATTTTGCCGGTAGGGCACTATTCATGCACCATTTGCCGGTAGGGCACTACATATGTATCATTTAGGCATAAATCATGTTTAGAAGCATAATTTGGGTATGTCATAGAAGAGAAACATGCTTAGAATATTAAAACACACCTACTGTATGAATTTAAATCTAAACAAAAATAGTTTCAAAAATTAAACAAAAAAGGTATCCCGGGCGGCCTATAAGTGGGACCGGCTAAACCCGACCACTAGCGAAAATATGTATTTTTGAAAATTTTTATTTAAAATAATTTTAAGAATTTTGGTTAAAATAAAATGTCGAATTAAGGCGTTTTGGGAGGAGTTGTAGTGCAACGGGGTCCCGAATTCATCAAGGGCAAAAGGGTCATTTTGCACCTTTGCCCCTCCACTATAAATACAGCCCCTTTAGTGTAAAAATATCAGTTTTTGGGCTGAGAAAGGCCAGTACATGTTTTTGGAGTAAAAAAGGAAGAAAATCCTAGGTTTTTCAAGCTTCAAGCTACCAAAACTCATTCTTAGGCCAAAATTTTTGCAAGACTTCCTTCTAAGAAGTTGTTCCTCTCAACAAAAGCTATATTCTCACTGATCGGTTCGGCTATAAAGCAAACAAAACTCCCTTGGCTTGAGAAAAACCATTCTAGGTATGATATTTTGCTAAGTTAGGAATATATTTATGTTTTCTTGTTTTCCTATGTGTTGATTGGATGATTTAGGTGTTTACTTGATGTTAGAAAATCATTTAGTTGGTAGTTGTTTTGAAAACATAGAATTATTGGTTTAAGTACTTTTGTATTTTTTAAGTTTCTTGACAATTTGTTGCTATGGTTGTGAAACCCGGGAAAAATTTTAACTTTTTCTGAAAAAAAATGGCAAAATGGTAATTTGTCATTATAGTGCGGGTTAAAAAAAAATGGTATTTTTATAGACCTCGGATGATGAAACGGACATCACCGTTGGATTCGTCTTACGAAATCTAGTTACCCAGACAAATTTCGTCGAATTCTGAGATAGTCAGATTTTTCACGTTTTTTGAGGTGACGGGTGTTCGATGACCCCTAAAAACGAAATTTTTATAAAAATTTTAAAATTTGAAAAATATTTTAAATAAAGTTCATATAAAATATTTTGAGTTTAAATCGGTATGAAATTTAATCGTTTCGGGGTGAAAACGGACCCGAACAAAGGACGACACTTGGCACGACGAGGGCCAAGTGTTTAGAAAGTATAAAAGTGGGCAAATATCTGAAAAATCAGATATTTTCTCTTCATTTGGCCGGCTGGATCAGACCCAAGAGAAAAGAAGAAAAAATATAATTCTTCAAGCTTTCTTTTGCCGATTCTCGAAGTTCCGTCAGTCGGAATTCGTCGGGCCAAGAATTAAAGTCGATCTACGCGACGAGAGCTACGCGTGGGTACCAAAAAAAAATTTTTCACCGAAGATTCAAAGGGAGAATGTTGGAGAAATCTAAGCTTTGGGCTTCAATCTTGTTCTTGAGGCTTCCTACAAATTCTTTACGCTTCTAGGGTTCCTCCTACTCGGACTTATTTCTAACCTAAGGTGTCCATAGGGTTCATGTTCGTTGTTTTGGGTATTTATAATATTTTTCCATTATGATTGGTGCTATGAAAATGGGTAGGATCAATTCTAGTGTGAATTGGTAGTTAGAAAGTGCTAGTTTGTGATTTCTTGAATGTTTAGATAATTGGTTATATAAAAATCATATATTCTGATTTTTATTTTGTTTGAATGATCCATATAAAATCTTGGCTTGATTTTGGTATATGGAAGTATTTATGTAATCCCTTGGAAATTGGGATCATGTGGGCATGCTTTGTGTTTTATATTATGCCTTGTGAATGAAATGTAATATTAGCATGTATTATGTGTTATCATGTTGATGGAGTGTTGATATATGCTCTTGGATATATTGAACTTGAAATGGTTATGTGATTATATGCAAATAATATTAATTGCCATGGTATACAATGATATTTAAAAATTGTCATTTGGCATGCATTGCAATATGGACATGGAATTAACATCACATTCATGGGTTACATGCATGAGTGTGGGTGTAGGGTTGCATGGGGTGATCAACACCAACATTGGTACTTGATGGTAGGCTCGGGAAAGTGGGATGGAACGTCCTACGGAGTCGCACGGTGACATGCATAAGAAAACTTGTGTCGGGTATAGCAAGTAGGGCTAGACACTCCCTCGGGTGAAAAACCTAGCCACTTGGTTCATACACTTACCGGCGGTGAAATTCCAGAAAAGTGTAATGGCGTACGGAGCTGGAGGTGCGATTCCTGAATCCGATACCCCATAAAGGCACATGATTTTGATATATAAATTATTCATTTGATGGGAAACATCCAAGAATGAATTAGTTTTATGACATATGGTTGATTTCAAAATGATCTTTGGATGTTTCATCAAAGACGTTTGTTTTACACGTAAATGTTGCATTGTGTTGTGGGAGTCAGTGTGGGCTTGGGATAGCATGCATGGGTGAGTTTCATCTCATTACTTGGCATGGCATCATGATTTTCCAACATTGTATTATATGTTATTGTTGGAGGGAATACTTGTTGTGAAATGTTGAATTTATACATTGCATATGCATTTTAGGTGCTGAGTAGCCTCTGTAGGGATTATTCTACTGGGCATTGGCTCACCCTATACGGAAAACATTTCAGGTGTGGGTCATGCACCAATGGACGGCTCACAATCAGGGTCACATGGTTGAAGAAAAGCCGACTTGTGGCTTCCAATCTATTTTTTTTTTTTTTGTAAAAGTAGATTTGTAATTAAATTTTGGCATGTAATGTGTAAAGGAATTGTAATAGAGTCTATATGGACTGTTTTAATATAACCTTGCATATTTTGATATAAATATGATGATTGGACCCGGTGTGGTCAAGTTTTACGTATAAAATGGACCATGTGTGGTTATGGTATTATATTGGACCTCGGATGGGTCATGTAAATGTTGATTGCACAGATTGTGTTTTGGGGTAGAGCTTCCCGTACAAAGGAGACTCTGCTCGGATTTCGTTAAATTATGGATCCCGGTAAATGGGACACAACGGTGCGATATCGAGTTATACGGTATCCACGGGCATTCCGTGGGTTGATGGGAAATTAACGGACCCCATGAATTTGGGGTGTCACAATGGTAAAGGTGTATATTGCTTATGTGTTGCATTATTATATTCTAGCTTATGTTCATGTAGAGAAACTCTTGTGGTTTGAGAGTTATGATTTATTACATGAGTTGGTAGTTTGTGTATTTGTAGTTTCTTTGAAAAATTGTGAAAGTCATGAATATGAAGCTTGATCATATGTTCAATCTATTGAATGGTGCTTCACATTCATGTAGATAAGGTGTTTGATGAAATGTTTCATAGAATTTATATTGAGAAAAATCAAGGCATTTTGGCATACATGAATCCTTGGAACATAGTGTGAGTTGAGCACTTGGCGCTATGCATTATGAGGGTGTAGATCCTGTGGTTAAAAATCCATAATCTGGCCAATGACAATACTCGGGGCTGATGGGGGCGGACCGTGAAGCGAGACATGGGTGGCATGGAGTTGCATGGGTGTGTCATGCATATTGACATTGAATAGCATTGAGAGATTATGGGGTTATAGCTTTTAAAAATGTACACTTACACATGTCATGCCTTAAATTTGTTCCTAGCATTAGCACTTTGTCATACCATCAATTGAGCTAACCCATTCGTGGGATATCATATTACAAATGAGGCTCCCGGTACTTGAGACTTGAGGACGGAGAGGAAAGGGACTTGAATGTATATTTGACCATTGGGCATATTTTGTATGTATGGGCATAAGCCCAAATGACTTGTATTCTAGTTTGAAAAAGTAGTAGATGAAAGGTCTTGGACCATTTTAATGTGTAAGAGTGTAGACTCAATTGATATTTGGGATGTCTTTATTTAATGAGTATCATATGTCTATATTGGGGGCAATTAGATGTAAAAGTTGAGAATAAGAGATGTATGTTTAATTTACATGGGTTGTGGCCACCTAATGAGAGTGGATTGTGATATAATTATGCATATGAAATATTGTGAATATTAGGTGGAAAAAAGGCTTGGAAACAAAGGAGGTTATGTCGACATTTTATGAAAAATTAAAAGACTT